GTGGGGTACGATGTCTATAGCGATGCGAGCATCCAGGGGCTCGGATGTGTACTGATGCAGAATGGGAGGGTAATCGCCTATGCTTCACGACAATTGAAGAAGCATGAGGTGAATTATCCTACGATACTCATGATTTGGAGCTCGGGGCAGTGGTATTTGCACTGAAGATATGGAGACATTATCTCTACGGGGAGACATGTCACATATACACTGATCACAAGAGCTTGAAGTACGTGTTTACTCAGAAAGAGCTAAACATGAGACAGAGACGGTGGATGGAGCTGATAAAAGACTACCATCTAGTGATAGAGTATCACCCAGGCAAGGCAAACGTGGTGGCAGATGCTTTGAGCCGGAAGAGCTCGTCTGGGGCATTGATAACTAATTTGAGGGCATTAAGAGCCCAACTGGAGGTAACCAGCGATGGTGCCTTATTGGCACGATTTGAGGTGAGACCCACTTTACTTGATGAGATCAAGAAGGGTCAGGAAGCCGACGAAGAACTTATGAAGGTCCGGGAACGCATGCAAGCGGGGCCGGTGGAGGATTTCAGGGAAAGAGATGATGGTCTCTTGTTATTTCGTGACCGAGTGTGTGTACCGTCAGATGATGAGCTCCGAAAGTCCATCTTAGAGGAGGCTCATTCATCGGCTTATGCCATGCACCCGGGGGGCACAAAAATGTACCGTGATTTGAAGGAAAGTTACTGGTGGTCTGGAATGAAGAGGGAAATAGCCGAGTACATCAGTCGGTGCCTTACTTGTCAACAAGTTAAGGCAGAACATCAGCACCCAGCAGGCTTATTGCAACCACTCTCCATCCCTGAATGGAAGTGGGAGCACGTGACTATGGATTTCGTGGTAGGCTTACCACGGACTATCAGGAACTATGACGCGGTTTGGGTCGTTGTGGATAGGCTCACAAAGAGTGCACACTTCTTGCCTATCAACACTACCTACCCACTTGAGAGGTTAGCCAAATTGTATACGGATGAGATCGTGAGGCTGCATGGGGTCCCGGTGACCATTGTATCTGATAGAGACCCACGATTCACATCACGTTTTTGGCCGAAATTCCAGGAGTCTATGGGAACGAAGTTGAAGTTCAGCACTGCTTTCCATCCACAGACGGATGGGCAGTCTGAAAGGGTTATACAGATCCTAGAAGACATGCTGAGGGCTTGTGCATTGGAGTTCCAGGGGAGTTGGGACAACCACTTAGCACTTGTGGAGTTTGCCTATAACAACAGTTATCAGGCAAGCATCGGCATGCCTCCATACGAGGCATTGTATGGGAGGAGGTGCCGTACACCGTTATGCTGGGACGAGGTTGGCATGGCCAAACTCGAGGGTACTGAGTTGGTGGAGGTCACCAAATCAAAGGTGAAGTTAATTCGAGAGAGACTCAAGGCGGCTCAGGATAGACAAAAGAGTTATGCTGATAAGCGTCGAAGAACCTTAGAGTTTAAGGTTGATGACGAGGTATTCTTGAAAGTTTCTCCTTGGAAAGGGATCATTCGGTTCCAAACCCGAGGAAAACTTAACCCACGATATATAGGTCCATTCAGAATTATAGAGAGGATTGGGGCCGTTGCATATCGTCTACAATTGACTCCTGAGTTAGAGAAGATACATAATGTGTTTCATGTATCCATGCTTAAGAAGTACGTGCATGATCCCTCTCACGTATTGGAGAAGCCACCTGTAGAGGTACGTGAGGATTTGAACTACGCTGTTCAACCTATCAAAGTCACCGATAGAAAGGTGAAGAAGCTGAGGAGCAAAGAAGTCCCAATGGTTAAAGTCCTGTGGAAGAGCGATCGGGTCGAGGAAGAGACATGGGAAACGGAGGCTTTGATGAGGAAGCAGTATGCTTTCCTATTCGAGTAGAGCTGTGAATTTCGGGGACGAAATTCCTGTTAAGGGGGGTGAACTTGTGACACCGCACCCGAACGTCCTTGAAAATTCGATTTAAAAATTCAAAAGTGATGTATTGAATTTCCGATTTCAAAGCAATGGAAGAAACGATTAATATTTTACGAAGTACATGATTGAATATTGTATTGTTCAAACCCGCATTCTTTTGTAATTTTCATCGTGTAAATTATTGGGATGAGCCTACACATATTGGAGATCAATAATGTGATTTAGGAAGTTGACTTGCTCTAAATAAGTTAGAATAAGTACAAAAAAAAGACATCTTTTGACAAAGATAAAACAATAGGACCCATCTTCCCATTTTTGGAGGTATTGGTAGATATTTTGGACCCCAAATTAAATGGGATCATTTGGGAACCATCCCACATGACCTTGGTACCTGCAAAGACAAAGAAAAATGGATGAGACAACTATGTGGGGCGGACTTTTGACTCATGAGCTACAACATTACAAAAAGGAAATAAAAGAGGAGGTCCATACCATGTTTGATTGCAATCAAATACCCCACCCTTCTTTTTTGTGAACCACATGCTCTCTTAGCATGATTGAGGCCTTCCTAATACATTTTCCCTACACCCCATTCGAACTCCCAAGATAAGAGAGAAAGAGGGAGCCACATATTCCAAGAGAGAAGAGAAGAGAGAAGCTGGCCGCAGGATTCGTTTTCCAGCAGATAGGGTCTCTTGTTTGATCCATAACTTGAGCTTCACTCGTCCAAATAAGGCGTATGATATACCAAAAGAAATCTCTCAAGACGAGGAATCTGTGAAGGCCTGGTTTGCAGGAATCGGAGTTGTGGAAGGCTTCCAAATCGTCCGAGAAAAACGCAACCTCGCAGGAGAGGATTTAATCCTCTAAAGTGAGTTTTAACCCCAAAGCTTTACTTTTCATTCTCCAAATGATATGAACGATTGGTGAGACTATTATACACTAATCCAAGTGTATAATATGTCCTTATAAAGTTATTTTATTGATGTAAAGGTTAGATACTAACCTAGATGCAAATATTGGAAAACTAGGAATCGAGTTAGCCGGAAAACACCCGTTCTAGGGGCTGTTTTCGTATCAACGATTAAGGGTTGAACTAGCACTTTGAGGAGGCTGTTTAACACTCATATTTGAGCAAGGAATCAGTCCCAAATCCACCTTGACCAAAGATTTGACCGTTGGACCAAGAAGAGAAAGTTTAAAGCTCAATTGAGGTGAGGATTGACATCTAATTGCTTACAACTTGTAGGTTAAGCATGAGATTACCTAAATGCTTAAATCATGATTTTTCATGGATTATGATGATTATATATTGATGAAATATTGATATAGTTGCCAAAGAATGAAATTTGAAATGATTTGAGAAGGTATGAATAATATGAGATTAAATGAGTATAAATGAACTATTTGTGAAAATGGGCATTTTTCTCATGTATGAATTATGTGGATACATAAATGAATATTTGTGTATTGAGAATGAATGTTTAAGTTGCTGCTACATAATTATAAATATGTAGAGAATTACAAATAACAAGGATAATGGTTTGATAGCAATAATCTTAATAGTATTGAAATACTAGTTAGTGATTATTGGAACTTGTTGATTAAATTGATCCTAGGGATTGGATTGTATGAAAGGTGCTTGAATATAGTTCAAGTGTATATAATAACTTAGTATGGAACTAAGGTTAAGTTATGGGAAGTCTTTAAGGATGACCCATGGCAGTTTAATGATATGTCAATTCTAGGCATAGGGTTGCTTGAGAATTGGACCTTAATGCATGGTGATGTAGTAGAGCCGAGCTCTATAATGCATGTAAGGTGTAGACTTGTAGTCTATGTATTGTATAGCTACAGCCGAGCTCTAGGGCTTGCGTGGTGATGTAATAGAGCCGAGCTCTAGAACGCAAGGTAAGGAATTGACCCGAGTGACATGAATTGTATGGTGATGTAGTAGAGCCGAGCTCTAGAATACAATGTCATGTGTTAGGGTTGGACTCTATTGAGTATCGTGGCTTGTAGCCACGGGAAATGGGAATGGTGATTTCTAAATGAACATGGGCCCACGGGCCGACTACTTGACTTTTACCTAAAGTAAGTATATTTTCAAATGGGTAACTTAGGGTTACAATCATAATATACTATCACCCTATTTGAGGGTCTTGTGCTTGAAATACTTGTTGTATATCTATTAGATGACTGCCACACCAGTACTTTATAGCCGTATAGAGTACTGACCCCTTCGGGGGCGTCCCACCACCATTTCAGGTTGAGGCTAGAGCTTGCTTCCTGTGCTCGTTGCCCGAGTGATTTCCCCGGAGAGAAGACTTGGTTCGTGCTTCCTCCATTCTGTTTTAGAACATTAATAAACATGCTCATGGATATTTTACTTTAGAGCCTGCGTGCTCATGTTTGCCCTGTGTGGCCCTTTTGTTTTAAACAATGTTTTCCGCTGCGTATTCAATTGTTTATTATGTATGTTTATGGATGACTTATGTGTGAATGATATTCATGACGCCTTGTATAATATGAATGTGTTGGACTGCGGTTGACTATTCGTATTGTACGGCGGGTTGTTGACGTGTCCGGGGAGGTCCGGGGCGTGACACTCAGCCCATTAGAGACATTATTTTGTACTGGGCCTCCAAGGCCCAAGTTCTGGGAGCCCAAACCCACATTTTCCCTATAAATAGCCCCCTAGGGGATAGTTATACGGGTTGAGAAATATTAATTACTAGTACTTTCTCTCTCTAACTCTCACTTCTCTATAGATTAATACTCTATCACGAAGGTAGTAGTATTTAATTTCACAATAGAGTTTTTCATTTGGTTTGACATTTTATTTCATAATTTACCTTTAATATTCTTTCACACTCATCCTTAGCTTGGGCACTAATGCACTATATATGAGGGTGTTTAAATAAAAATAAATAAATAAATAAATAATAGGAATGCAAAATAAAGGGTAAATCAGATGAACCCGAAATTACATAAATAAATAAAAAAAGAAATGTGATTTATAATTTATCATATACGATCGGTGCTTCATCTCTACGAATAAAGAAAACATACGAACCCAATATATCAAACATGAAACTAGTAATTTATACTTCGTATATTTTAGAAATCCTTGTGTATTTTGACAACTCATATTTCATTATAAATATATCTGTCGGGACTTCTATTGGAGTATCAATTTCCATTATTTCACATGGTATCAAGAGCCCAGTCATCAGACCTAATTTTCTCTCTTTGTTTCCTTACGATTACAGTCGCTGCAATGACCTCTTCCGTGTTTGACTCATCTGCAGCCATGACTTCCTCCACCATGACCTATTCCGCCGCAACCAATATCTCAACAGCACCGGAAGATACCAATCCCAATACCAGTATTACAATGCAGTCATGATTGTCCTCTTTGTGTTGTCTACTGATCCACTTTCAGGCGCCACTAGTTCACCACCAGTGCAGCGGCCACCATCATCGGCCTTGATTTCATGCTTCCCGCCGCCGCATCAATTCTTAACGGCCAAACCATGTTCCCTGTTTTAGTCGTTGCCGCCTCACTTTCCATGGTAGTCGGCCACAGTGCAGTCCCTGGGCGCTTTTCCTCCTCCTCCGGCGGCTGCATCTCCATTCTTTGGCTCTTCTGGCTCACCAAGTGTAGTTCCCCCCCCCCCCCCGGACTAGCTATGGTTTGGCTCTCCGATGGAATATCTGGCTCAGTCTGGGTCGCATATCACCACCGTCTCGCAGAGTGTCACGATCAAACTGAAGGCGGTAGAAGATTACCTTACTTGGAGCACTTAATTAAAATCATTCTTGGTCTCTCAAGGTCTTTTTAGAATGAAACATCAATCAATCATAGAAATATAAATTAAATTAAATGCAATATAAATGTCAAATGTCAGAGAATGTACGACAAAAACAGATGAGTTCTTAAAAGTCCTGTTGGACAAATAATTGAATTTATAAGATTATGAAATACGTAGTACTTCGTACTTGTTCGTACTTGTTATTTAGTCTTCGATCTTCAATCTTCTTCATCGTCAGAGTCTTCAGAGTCATCTTTACGGCGATTTATTTCCTCTTGAATCATTAGTAGAGAAACAACGAAGGCTTGATCCACATTTGGCTGCACGGTCACCTTTAACTTATCCTCTCCAAAAAAAGACGATTGCTTCACGCTCTGCAATAAAATTATATTTATATGTCTGAAATGTGTGATTTATAAACAAAATTTGACGAAATTTTTGGCGGTTCATATAGCTAGATCAACTCTAAACGTACATTTCACCTAACTTTTTGGAAAATTAATCACGTGATCAGTCATTGGATGCATTAATTAGGATGTTTTTACTTGGACCGTAATTTGCTTGTCTGGTATGTTTATGTCTGGTCTGGTCTGAACTGGTCTGGTCTGATTTGGTTAACGTCTGGTCTCTGTGTATTTTTTAACTACGGAAGTAAAGTCTGGTCTGATATGGTCTGTTTAAGGGTTGATTTGCAACTCCTTTTAAAAAAGGACTTCTCAGCTTTTGGTTTTAAAAAAGCACTTATTTTCCCAAACACTACAACTTTTATTTTTCACGATTTCCGCGGCAAAAGTGCTTTTACTTTTTCCATTACACAAAAAACACTTATTTTATCAAACACTACCCACTTTTACTTTTCAAAATCACTTTTTTCTCAAACACTATCAACTTTTATTTAATCACTTCTCCCCATTTCATTAAAAAAAGCACTTTTTTAAAAGCAGAAGTTGTTGCAAACAGACCCTAAGTCTGGTCTGATCTGCTTTGTTTAAGTCTAATCTGTCTGCTTTATTTAAGTCTGGTCTGATCTGATTTGTTTCAGTCAGGTCTGGTCTAATGTGAGACTAAAAACAGTCTCCAAATAAAAACATCCTTAGAAATTATGAAAATTGGATGCATGTGTCTTTCCCCTGGCTAGATAGCTTCGCCCATCTATCCCACCAACATTAAACATCTAATTGAGCTGCTATTAACCCAACTACATGTTGACTTGCTCAGTACGTGTAGAATTGGATTGGTTGTAACTTTGGTGAAGTACAAACCGGTTGTTATTTAAAGAAATAATGGCAGGCGTATAATTGCTCAACTTTTCATTTCCAAAAATATAACCATTTTGATTTTTTTCCAAAAAAAGTTCCGTCCTAACCCCCAAAACATGTGTTCGTCTCTGACCCTTGCTCCTCTGCGCTCGACGAAGTCTTCCCCTAATCGGATCTCTGCGTTCCACCCTTGCTCTGCGGAAATCGGACGAAGTCTTCTCCAATATCGGACATCTCTGAGCTCCTCAATTGTTGTTGTGCGGAAGATTGGACGAAACTTCTCTTCTTCTTTCAGATCGTCGTCTTCCTCTCCCAGATCCGACGAAGGTCCTTCCCTGCGCACGCTCCATCGTTGCTGTTCTGCCGCCTCCACCAACCATCGCCCCTCTCAACCGCAACCCCCACCTCTGCCAACTTCGTCGCATTCACTACTCCATTCTTCTTCGCTTATTTGAGATCAATAGATCTCATTTTTGGGAGGCGGAAATGGTGAGGTTATAGGCTGTTAGGGTTTGGGTCTGGGGTAGTGGGGGTGCATCGTTGGGTGATGGTGTGGTTTGGTCATGGCGGCATGGGGGTGGAAGGCCAGGGAGGGGTCGTGGAAGGTCGACGTGGGGACTGGGGAGGGTTGAACGAGGCCAGCTAGTTGGAGTCCAGGCTTGGGATGTGGTTGGGGGGCTAGGGTAGAGGGGGCAGGGGCTGCGGCAGAGATTTTTCTGCTGCTGGGGCCTGGGGGTGTTGGGATGGGGAGGAGAAGTGGAAGTAGGCAATATTGGGTCACACAATTGCGGTGGGATGGCGGTGGTGATTGGTGGTGGCCGGAAAGAATTGTGGTCGGAGCAATTGTGTGTCACTGTGAGTTGTCCCTACAGGGATGTCACTGCAGAGGTGTCACTGTTTTCGGTGGGCAGTCACTATGGCCGGTGGATAGTCACTGTGACCGGTGGACAGTCACTGTGACCGGTGGGCAGTCACTGTGGCCGGTGGACAGTCACTGTGACCGGTGAGCAGTCATTGTGGCCAGTGGGCAGTCACTATGGCCCATTGGGCAGTCACTGTGGCCGGTTGGGAAATCACTGTGGCCGGTGGGTAGTCACTGTGGCCGAAGTCACTTTGGCCGGAGTCACTGAGATAGTGACTGCCGGCGGCGGTGCCGGTGACGGCGGCAGTGGTGGTGCTGGGGTCGGGTCCGGAGGTGCTGGTGCCTACAAATGTATAAAAGGAATATCAAAAAATAAATATATGATTAAATATAAGGAATAAATGACTTTTAGTCATGGCACATTTGCTGCATCCTTATCGAGTACTCTTCTTTGATCGGCGTTCTGGCGTTTCAAATTCTCGGCTTCCTTTCACAAAATGAATATCTCAAACGATCTCGATCTGCTAAACCCTTCTTTTGAAGATCAGAAAAGAAAGCACAAGCTCAAGCGTCTCGTACCATCCCCGAACTCTTTCTTTATGGATCAATGGATGTGAAGTGTCAAGGTTGCTTTAACATAACAACTGTTTTCAACCATTCTCAGACTGTTGTTATGTGTGGGAACTGCCAGACAGTCCAATGCCAGCCAACGGGTGGACGTGCCAGACTCACTGAGGGCTGCTCTTTTAGAAGAAAGGGCGACTAGTAACCATGTACATGATGAGATCTTGCTGCTTTCTTTGGCAAGGTTACTAGTGACCATACTATATCATTTTGTTTGACGTTTGTTTTAAAATGTTATGTTAGGATTTTGATCTTGGATATTCAGTTTGTGTTTTAATTCCCAACTTTCGGGTTCATATTGTTTGGTAATTATGTTACGTGTTTGACAAATCATTTTGTTATAATGTGCATCTACATAAAAAGTGACTTTTAGTCACATTTGTGGAAAAATTTAAAAGAGGTCACTTTTTTTTATCTTCTTCATTCATTTTAGTAATATTAGAATAAAAAGGCCTTATTTAAATACTCCGTACTACGAATATTTTAAAGCCAATGTACTCCTCTCAAATTATTTGTATACTAAGAGGCCATTTGGTAATACTGTTTTTCGGCTTATCAGTCAATTTTTTCACCAAACACGTAATTTTTGCTTTCGCGCGTTGAATTGTGTAATAAGCAGAAAAAGTAAGGTTGGAGTTACTTTTCTGGCTGTATTGGCTGAAGTTATCATTGATGACCATTTTAGCCATTTTACAAATAATTTTTTTATTATTTTATTAATAAAAAATATTTTAAAATTATTTTTTTCTTAAATCACCAGAACCAGCCACTTCAGCCAGAACTTCATAAATTTTAGCAGAATCAGTCAAATCAGCCGATTTTCGTGCTACCAAACGGGCTCTAAGTCTAGTATTTTTTGTAAAAATAAAGAAAAAAATGTATTGGCTGCATTGGCTTAAGTTTTATTAATAAAATAAAGAAAAAATTACATGTAAAATAGCTAAAATGGTCATTTACAGTAACTTCAGCCAATACAGCCAGAAAAGTAATTTCAACCTTACTTTTTCTACTTATTACACAATTCAGCGCGCGAAAATAAAAGTTACGTGTTTGATGAAAAAGTTGACTAATAAGCTTGATAAGTCGAAAAACAGTATTGTCAAACGGCCTCATAGTGTAAGACAACATATATGAAGTAAAAAGAAAGAAAAAGAAACGAAAAAGACCAAGAGCCCGTTTGGTAGCACGAAAATGGACTGATTTGGCTGATTCTGCTGAAATTTATGAAGTTCTGGCTGAAGTGACTGCATTGGCCGATTATGCTAATATAAGAAGAAATTATTTTTAAAATATATTTTATTAATAAAATAAAGAAAAAATTATATGTAAAAAAAGCTAAAATGATCATCTACAGTAATTTCGGCCAATACATCCAGAAAAGTAACTCCTACCTTACTTTTTCTGCTTATTACAGAATTTAGCACGCGAAAGCAAATGTTACATGTTTGGTAAAATGTTGGATGATAAGTCAAAAAACAGTGTTGCCAAACGACTTCCAAAAGTTGGGAATCCGGAAGTACGTATTACTTCAATTCGTACAATCGTACATGTAGAGTATGAAGTGAAAGATGATAAAGTGGCTGAAAAGGCTTAACCAATTGTATAGATTAGCTGGCCATATACTCCGTATATTGATATATTCGCACTAAACTCTCAGGTAGTTACATGTGATAAGGATGGCCGGAGTATATGATTTACAGGGATAGTATTCTATCTAATACAACCGAACTACAAAGAGATAAGTACAAGCTAAGTAATACTTTAATTAATAAATACATTAGATATTATAATATATATCATGCCCCCGCAAGTGAAGGGATCCAAGAGGGATGCCAAGCTTGGACCGATGAAAAAGAAAAAGCTTCCGTGTGAGAGGTTTAGTAAGAGAATCAGCAAGCTGTTCAGTAGTGGAAACATGAGTTACTCGGAGAGATCCATTAGCTACTTGTTCATGAACCAAGTGAAAATCAATAGCTACATGTTTCATGCGAGAGTGAAACACGGGATTGGCGCAGACGTATGTGGCACTAATATTATCACAATAGACTGTTGGAGTGGAGCAGGAAGAAAAATGTAGTTCGCTAAGTAGATTGCGGATCCAAAGGAGTTCAGCGGTTGCCCCAGCAATAGCACGGTATTCAGCCTCCGTGGAGGACCGGGCAACAGTGGTTTGTTTCTTGGAGCTCCAGCTAATTGGATTTCGGCCAATGAAAATAACATAAGCAGATGTGGAGTGTCAAATATCAATATCACCAGCCCAGTCAGCGTAGCAAAGCCATGCAAGGATAGAGGGGTTTAAGCAGAAATGTGGGGACCATAATGAGAAGTGCCCTTAAGGTAGCGGAGAACACGTTTCACAGCCTGCCAGTGAAGAGAAGAAGGGCAGTGCATAAATTGTGCCAACTTGTTAACCACAAAGTTGATGTCAGGACGGGTGAATGATAAGTATTGAAGAGCACCGAGAACACTACGATACTCCGTTGGATCATGAGAAGGGGATCCGTCATGTAAACAAAGAGTGTCATTAGGAGAGATGGGAGTGGGCACAGGGCTTGCATCTTGCATGTTAGTACGACTTAGTGTATTTTTGTTCACTAATAAGAAGGCCAGAGGAGGACCGCATAGCTTCCAAGCCAAGAAAATAAGATAAAGACCCCAAGTTTTTGAGAGAGAACCTGGGTGCCAATTGGG